CTTAACTTGCAGCACAAAGGCTATTTCTTTTACCTTTTCCAATTACGTAAGCTTAACTCATTTTGACTCATGGCCATTTTTTTATGCCACTACTGTTCCAAAAATAGTTGGTAAAACCCCTACTGTGTACAGTAAATCCTTAAACAAGTGAATGCTGTGAAATAAGTTCATACAGCACAAAAACATACTAGACTGGGGAAAGACAGAATACTGACTGAAAATAAATACAGAAGACCCTATTTGTACTTTAAAGTAGAAGATAACACCCAGCATCAGATTTAATATGTACACATATCAACACAGAGCAAGTTTTCAGACTTCAACTAGGAGATAGGTGTGTGCATAAGATTGATTTATTAAAATTTAATTATTAGTGATAGATCATCATTTATCATTCACAGATTCTTCTTCTCTTAGTTCTGCTCTGGGAAATAAAACCCCTTTGTTAAGAGCTCTGTTTCTTTACAAAGAGAATGAAAACAATGCTTACTTGGCACAGAGAACCCAATGAGTATGTTGGAATAGGGAAAACAAAAGGCGCTGATGGTGGACACTCCATATTTTTATTGATTTATCATTGGATGCTGAAACTAGAAAGTGGCTATCATGCGAGAAGCTCACGCTACGAACAGATGCTGTATGACATTTCAGTACCGATGATTCTCCATGACTGGGGTGGGGGAGGGAAAAACAAAACAAACAAAAACATAAAAAAACAACCAAGACATAAACCACAATTATATTACACTGAAAGAGTTTAAAACCCCGTAACTCAAAGTTAAAATATTTGGAATCTTACACAAATGAAAAAGCAATTTATATAAGCTAAATCTTAGTGTTGCCAATTATTTGAATATTAATTATTAGAATAACAGACTTTAAAGTAATTGTATTTAATATGACCAATTTTAGAGAACAGTGCAATCAACTAGCAGCATTAGCCTCCATACAGAATTTGAAAGAATTTATTATATTTTGATAAAGTAACCTACAAAATGCTTAAAAATTAAAGTAGCACCAGTCTTTCTAAGATCATTCTGAATAGTTTGTAATCACTGCTACTTGATAACAATCTAAAAAGACAAGTCAATCAAAAATATCTTTTTCCACAAATGCTATTTTTTGTTTTCTTCATCACTTGTCTCCCCAAAATGAAGTGCAGCCATGCAATCCTTACTAAAAGAAATACAACCTTTAAGCCAGAGAAATACTACCAAGCATAATCCTACACACATGAAATCATGATTGCTATATTTTTCTTTTGAAACTATAGAATATTCAGTAAGGAGCAATGTTGCTTATGCTCCCCAATCTCTATTTCTGTCAAAGCCCAGGGATGTGGGAAGGAAACAGAAGCTCTTCTTGGGTAAAGACTCCAGTATTCACACTGTACGTTAAAGAAACACATAGCCAGCATAACCCAGTTATACCCACATGCAAGGAATCCATAGTCTGACAGTGCGATCTTGAGAAGCTGAAGCAAGTAGCTGCCCATCTGGTGAGAACTGTACGCTGGTCACTGCTTCTGCATGGCCTCCAAATCGGTAAGCTCTGCATTGTGTCTTCAGCTTCCACACCATAAGAAACCTATCCAAAGAAGAGGTAGCTGGCAAGAAATAAAAGATATCGTGAATCCACTCACTGTTATTAAAAAAAAAAAAACAAAAAAAAACAAAACAAAACAACAAAACAGAGCTAATGACTATGTATTTGGATTCACCAGTGAACTTACTGGTTCTTAGGGAGAGGGAGCAGTTACTGGGTTTTAATGGATACTTGGCTGGAGCAGAAGCCTGGCAGCAATGCCAACACCAGGCTTTTGGAAGGACAGAAGACTAGGAGGAATAAAGGATAATTCTTCACAGGTATTTAAGTAGCATTTTTTTTTAATACTAACATTTGTCTAGTTCAAAATACAATGTTAAGTTTTCTGTCTGATAACAGAAAGACCATGAACAATTTTGGTTTTTGCAGTCACTTTATGGTGGCCCATACTACCTACATTTGAGAAGGCAGACAGCTTTTACCAGAGCTTGATCATTTTGAGGAAACTACAAGTAGCAAAAGCAACAAGCAGTTGAATTAAACTGACAAGTGTGATATTGCTATACCCCTATTATCTTAATCTCTAATAAGTGCTAGCATGCAGGACAAATAAAACCAAATGATTCACACTCCCACCTCTCAGTTATAAAATTCCTACCCATGATACAGAAAGGGAAGGAGAGGAAGAAGAGGGACTTCCTAGAAGTTGAAGAGGGCATGAAAAGGATGGCTCTTCCCTTCCCAACAGGCATCAACATAGCACAAAGGAATGGAGTCTGTTTATTAGCACATGTGTCAAGGCAAGCCTTGAACAAAATATTAGATATTGAACTCTCCTTAGGGATTTGGTACAGAAATATTATTTTACTCCCAAAAGACTAGCTTCTGGTAAAAGACATGGGATCAGACTAGCCCTACACCCATACCAGTAGGCCTAAATTTGGCACAGAAGTACAGGATATTCCCCCCCCCTTCAACTTTTCAGAACTCTATTTTACAGTAGGCTCTTTCTAATTGTACTTCAATGACTATTTTTTTCCCCCCTTTGATTCAGAAAAAACATGACCTAGAGCAGTATAAAACAGAAAGGAATAAGTGAAATGTAAGCTAAAATAGAATTTGAACGTATCATGTTAGATATGTGGAACAGACAAGATTGATGGTTACTAAAAGAAATAATGCACGAAGTACCAAGTACCCATGGTATCTTATGAACTGCACGAAGGCTGTGTAAAAACGGCACTCTTTGCTTCCAGTTCTAAAAACTGAAGGAAGTATTTTAAAAGATGACAGTACAATAAATTCAGAGCCTGTTTTTTTGTAGCTTGCTCTCTTACAGATGGATTATTCCAAGGTTGATGAGACACAAGCAGTGATCTGAAGTTCTCCTTTCCCTGGGCCATCCACAAGTGTGTGTCTTGCTTTCCCTCTGACTCTGTTGCCTACTCTCATACAGCATCCTCTCTCCATCCTTAGGTAGGGTTTTCTCTTGAAGCCACCCGCTCGTTACCATGACACTCAAAGGCTACTGTTGTCTCTGACACAGCAGCTCCAGCCCAGCTGACACTACCACAGGTGTGACAGAGGGAAGAAGTTCAGGACCTGCACAGGAAAGGGTAACTGACAGATCCACTGCAGAATTATTTTCCTGAGGCACACAGGCTGATGTGACTCTTTATCTGGACAGCATAGGAGAGGCGTAAACCCAAACAAAAAAATTCTAAGCCAAAACTCTGAATCTATATTCAACTTTAGCCCCTATCTTGCCAAGGAAACCGGGTCCATTTACTATTAACAAGCCTCAGCCAAGACAAGCTACTCCCTGTTCAAGCAAGCTGAAATCAATTTTGGAGCATATGACCAATGCCTATGCACTCTGCTATAACAATAAACATTTTATCTTAGCTAACCACAGGCACTGAATACAAGAGTCTATAGGGTAACAATGTTGCCACCAAAAATTTACATTATCAATACTAATCTTAAAAACAGTTTTATACATCAAAAATTGCTATTATCAAATAAACTTCTCTAATCTTCTTTTTATGCTGTTTTTAGGGGATTTTTGCTTACTTCATAACAATGCTCCTCCAATTTACGCAAGCACAGGATCTTAAGGATTGCTTCTTAATCCTTTACTCATTTTTCTCCCCTCAAGTTCATGCTGTTCACATATTTAAGTGAAAAAGGAGGGGAGCAAGAACCTTCCAGGACAGGAATGCAGGAATTCCTACCGCAATGCAGACCAGACCCAGCTGATGTGTTCTGTCAGCGCTTGCTAAGTATGCCAGCACCCTACAGTCTGACTTTCAATTACCAGACCACCAGTCCACAATGGATCTCCAAGGCTAAATTTAAAGTATTGGAACTGAGACAAAAGAAACACAGAAGGTAGAGAAGTTTTTAGGATGGGCTGTACCACAAACAGGTCTGTTGCACATGTGTCTTGGAGAAAACACGACATAACCAGAACCGTGTTTAGAGGCAAAAGACAACATTTGTTGTTGCTGTAGTAATGAAAATATTTGATCAACTGCAAAATATAACTAAAAAGAAAACTGAAAATTCCTACCGAGCCAGCTCTAATATGCAACTTAGTCCAGTTTATAGCCTCAGTGCCTTTTTTTTTTGTAGTTGATATAAGTGCTTTCTGTACACGCCCAAGTATAGCTGACGCATCTCTAGGTAATTTGCTTTTCTGGTGATGAGTCATAACAGAATTGAACACCAAAGAGTTAAGACTTGGACTGATGCAAAGGCCAAGTTTACATACCGCTTTGCTGCAGTTCTCTAAACAAATATCTGGGCTTCACATATGCCATGACAAGTTTTTTATAGTATTTGCAATGAAACCAAGTTCAATTTATAAGTTGTAAATATCGATGGTATACATTTTCATATATACACACGTATAGTTGCCACAATATGGAATTACCATTACACTCCCGTTTCCAAGAATATCACAGTAGCAATTACAAGTTGTGCAAAAGATCAGAAGAGACATACTTGGCCAGGCTTTAACAGTTAGATGTACCCCTTGGTCATCCTTCCACCAAAACACTGAACCATCTCCAACATAATTAATTCACGCAGTGCAAGAATTACAGGTCAGATGCAGTAGAGGGCTGTGCACATGATGTGTGTGTAAATACTCAAGCACTACCACCACCAAAAACCCCACATACTTTACAGGAACCTTGCAAATCTCAGTGCGATAAGGTGCAACGTCACTATGCAAACACATTTAACGGTGATTCACAAGATTTCCTACTTGGAGGAAAACAATTATTAATTGAACCTCTGTCAAGGGAACCAATTTGGAATTCTAAGTGCAGTGGATACATTACAATGAATTGTTAATAAGTTCCCTAAGTTTTAGTTCATGGCGGTTTTTAGTGTACATTGTTTGTGCTTACATGAGTGGAAGAGAATTGAAAAGAGTCAGCACACTAGCCAACATTTATCATTCTGGATTTTATTTTTTCAAAAGAAACCCCAAAGCCCTCCCACATTTATTCAGTGTTAAGTCTACATTCAATTTCTTTTAAGTCACTTAAAATCAGTAGTTTAAAATATATACAAGTGTTCCCCAAATTTGCAAAGTCTAACAGCATTGAAAATATTTCAGATTCAGAATTTCTAGAAATCTGTATACACTGAAAAACAACTGGATTGGAGTATGTCTGTAGAATTGCTGCAACTCAGTTCAAAATTAGTGGAACTTGAAATGGCAAGGTCTTTTTTAATTCTGTCTTTCTCTAGTACCTCCGCCACCCCTGGTTTTCTTTATTCCCATTGGGAACAAATTTTTTTTATTTATTTATTTTTAGGTCCAGGTTACTTACTTTTGCCTTTTTTTTTTTTTTTTTTCCCTTTTAGTTTTTAAATAACCATGAAAATAGTGTGGGAGGTGGTGGGGGAAAGGAGGAAGAGTTCACATTCATACAGAAAGAATAACTTCTCAAACTTTAAGAGGCAGGTTCACTTAGACTTATTGCTTAAATTGATAAGGAACACTTTGGATGTCAGTTTTAACATGAAGGTAGTTCTTTATATGAAATATAGCTTTTGCCAAGTCCTACAAAAGTTAATTGTATAAAAGTTGCATAGTCTATATTCATACCATTTAATTACTTTCCTCTGAGAAAACATGCATTGCACATACAACTTATGCTCTGCCATGTAGGAGAACCCAGGCCTTTTTCCTGACAATTCTATTGAATGTAACAGTCTACAGCAAGCTTTTCACAAAAGCACATACTTTATATAATTTATTGCCCCAGTACATAATGACTGGCTGTCTTTTAAAATTTAATAAATGGTTCATAACTTGTCCACAAAGGAATTCCTTGCTGCAGAGTAGAATGGAATTTTTCAGGAATGTCTCCCTTATATAGTAAAGAAGTTCCCTTTTTCCAAAAAAAAAAAAAAAAAAAAAAAAATTAGCTTAGGGTTTAAAAAAAAAAAAAAATCTTATTGCAAGTAACCTCCAAAAAATAAGTCAAAGACTTAAAACCACCCATGCCACACAGTGGCAAGCATTTTTAGCATGATTCAACGCTACATCCCCAACTTCAAATTTTCTTCTTCTGTTCCCCTTCTATCTTAGCCTGCTCCCACCCAAACCTCTCAACTCTTTAAAACCACTAAGATTCAACAGTATGTCTTAATTTATTCTTGCTTTATTTTTTGCAAGTCTTGACTTATTTCAGGTCTCACTTGCTCCCTTTTAACCCTTCTACCTACTAACACCTGCAGCAAACACACACCTACTACATTCCTCAAATATCCAGATTCCTATTGCTCACTAGCTCAAGTTCCTACCTACCAACCCCGTGTCAAGAATTACTACACTGTGGCTACTGAAGAACATTTATCACTTCAGTGAAAATAATCAAAAAAGCTGAAATGCCTGAAACATTATATGTTCAGTTTAAATCATATAAAGCTAAAAAAGATTTTTTTTTTAAGTATACATTGTATCTATCACATCTACTGTCTATAATCACACTCAAAACAGATTAGTGACATGATTCAAGAATCAACGTTCTTTAAAACTCAACATAACAGGATATAGAAAACATTCCAAATAAGTTGTTCTGTTAACCATCTAACCAATAAATCTTGGTTTCCTCCAAGCTGCTTTTTGCCTTTTCAACTCCCCTCACTCCAGGAACTTCAGCTTCCCAACCTTACCTGAAGTCTCCCGTGGTACTGTTGTGACTAGAAAACATACACTGCATGATTTCAAAACTCTACCTAGGGCTGATGCATGCCAGCTGTTGCCAACATACATAACGCAAAATAAACCAGCCCAAGTTTTCTTCTGTGTCTCCTTCTACCCTGGTGACAGACGAAAAAATAAAATGGATACATGGTGTAGTCACATAAGCTACATGTCCCTAGGATGCCAGGATTAAGGTGGAAAAGCTTACACAGAGGCAACATAAATATTAAACATATAGCTAAGAAACAGCAGTAGCCAATACAACTCTGCGCTTTCTTTCCTTCTCCTTTACATTTAAACAATATTCTTGTAGCCAACTATTTCTCCCCATTTGTGGTACCGCTGGCATGTCCTTGGTTCCACTCCTACCACACTCTAAATGCATGAGAGCTCCTGACTCACACTCATGAGGTAAGTTTTCCAAAATAGGCACAAGACTGCAAAGCAGTGCCAAAGCCAATCTACTAAAAAAAAAACAAAACAATTTTCTTCAATGTAATACAGCTAGTTGTCACCTTGAAACCCCTAAGAGCATGTAAATTCCCCAGAAAACTGCAAACATTAGAAGGCTTAAGAATCAACTTTACACATCAATGCTGATTCAATCACATGCTACTGTAGCATTACTTAGGGTGTTAGATACATATCTCATAATGTATCTGCAACATAGGTCAGTTAATTCCACTGCAAGAACCTTCACTTTTACTTCAGTGAGTAAAGATTCTTTACTTTCATGTAACATTGTCTTGCAGGTTTAATGTACATAATTTTTTTTCTGAACCAAAAAAAAAAAAAAATCCCTCCTCAGTTGACTCAAAAGCCTTTGTTTAACTATAATCAAGATGGACCAAAGTAAGAAAATAAGGGATGAAAATTTTACAAAAATAAAAGGCATTAGATCTGTATTCAATGTTCTAGAAACTAAACCCCAGTATTTACTTTTGCTTTCCATACAGTCCACCACAGCAAATATAGTTTCTACATCACTACAGACACATCTGAAGACATTCCAAGGTCTGCAATTAAACATCACTATCTGCTCATGCATGTAAAAACCTTGGAGATCACAGTCACTTCGATTCTTACTACCAGCAGTGATTATTTCTCAAATTTCCAAATCTGATTTTTATCTGCAGCATTACAAGCTCCCATTTGCACATCAGCACGCCCCTCAGTCGTACGATAAGCAGTAAGGCACTTTCCCGAATGAGGATGATAAATAGTCCCATCTTCTTTGAAATGCCATATAATAATTTCTGGGATAGGAGATCCATCTTTTGGGCAGCTCCTCATACCTATGAAGTCTTCATGCTCAGGGACTTCAGCACATAGCTCAGTTACAGAGTTAAATCTAATCTCCTTATTTGACGTGTATTCAAAAAATTGATTGCCTCCCTGACCATGACATCCGAAGAGAGAAAGGTGAGCCCCAGTAGGATGATGTTCTGGTAAGACATAGTCGAGGCATTCTGAAGCTATTCCCGTGCTGCGGATAGCACCATGCCAGCCAGGACGATCTTCTGGTACGTGCAACTCGGCAAATATGTTTTTTAAATACCAGTTAAAACTCTTGCATTTCAAACGCTCTCTTAGTATCTTTCTTTCAGAAATATCTCCATAGTTTTCTTTTCTCGCTGAAGGATTTCTGTTGTAAAAGTGCTCTTTGTACTCATCCATCCACACCTCAGCAGCACGTGCCGTGTTCTGAAGGAAATTTGGTCTAGCATAGGGCGCACGCTTTGGAAACACATGGCCTACATGGGAGCACGGGTGAATTTCCAACATGCCTCCACACTGCCAAACCCTAAATGATAATTCTAAGTTCTCGCCTCCCCAAACATCCATTCCTGTATCGTAGGTACCCAGGTACTCAAAATACTTCTTGCTGACCGCAAACAAGCCACCAGCCATAGTTGGGGATCTGATTGGGTCAGTTTCAGATTTGCGCCTGAGACGTTCATGTTTAGGCACTGAGTGCCACTGGAATGTCAGCCGCCAGTCAAACCCCCCAATCATCGGCTCTGCCGTTTGCATGTAGTATTCAAATGTTTTCCAGTCAATGGTGTCAATGACAGGACAGATAATAACAGTCTCATTCTCAGCAATCCTCTCGAGCAGTGGTTCCAGCCAGCCAGAGACACATTCACAGTGACAGTCTAGAAACGTGAGGACATCACCAGTAGCAAAGGTAGCACCAATTAAGCGTGCACGAACCAATCCTTCTCGTTTGTTGGTTCTTATCAGACGAACTCTTTTCAGACTGCTTATGTATTTTTCAAGTTCAGTCTTCAGATACACTTTATCACTCAAGTCATCCACCAGTATAATTTCTTTTAGAAGCACTGAAGGTGACGTTTCAAGAACACTATGTATCGTCCGCAGCAAGGTTGACCAGGCTTCATTGTAAAAAGCAATTATAACCGATGTTGTGGGCAGTCTTCTGTAGTCATAGGATTTAGCTTTACAGCCACTCAGTCGATTATCTTCAATGTGCCGGTGGAGAGAGATTTTATCACTCAGATAAATATTAATTGCATACTTCTCAATCAGCTCTTCTTCCTGTTTCTTTTCCTCAGGACTCAGCTGCAGGCGAGAGGGCTTACCCCATTCTCCTGGGGCATAAGGATCAGGCGGGGATTTGTCATAAACTGGACGAGCCAAATCTACAGCCTCTTCTACTCTGTCAGAAAAGCGCCTCTCCCATTTCCCTCTGGTGATGCTCTCACTGGCGAGGGAGGCACCGAAGGAAGAAACCGACAGTTCGACCACGAAGTAAGCGATCATCAAGAAGCCGAGAAACACGCAGCTTTTGCGGACCCACGTCCATCTTCTCGCCAGACGGATCCTCATCGTCGGCGACTAAAAGCAGCTCCTAACAGAGAGGAGCTCCGTGAACTACTGCCGGCTGCCCCCCGCGCCCCCAGGACGGAGGGGGCTGCAGGCGCTCCCAGCTTCGGGCTCGGGCCGCCGGCCGCGGCGGCAGCCAGTCCCTCCGCGGCGGGCCCTGAGCTTGCCGGGGGACGGCGGGGGGAGCGGGGCAGCGGAGAAGGCACGGAGCAGCCCCCCGCCCCTCCGGCCTCGGCGCTCCCCTCGCTTACTTCCTCCTCCTCCTCCTCCTCCTCCTCCCCGCTCGCCGCGGGACAAACCCCTCCCCCCGCCTTGTGGTTTGCTCGAAAAGTTGTCGCTTTAAGAAAGGGGCAGAGACTCCTCGGCCCGCCCGGCCGGCGCGGGAACCCGCCCCGCCTCCGCGCCCGGACCTGCGCCCGGAACCGCCCGGCGGCTCCGCCGGCTGCCGGGGGGAGAGACGGAGGGAGAGGAGGGGAGGAGGGAAGGAGACGCCCCGCCCGGGAAGCCAAACGGCGCCCGGCCCCGCCGCCGGTCCCCCGCACTCACCCAGCCCCGCGGCGTCCGCGTTGAAGGCCACGCCCGTCACCGCCGCTCGGTGGCCTCGGAAAGGCCGGATCAGGACGGGGTCCTCCTGCGGGAGAAGGTGCGCACCGTCAGGCACCGGCCACGGGCCCCCTCCCACACCCACCTCCCTCGGGAACCGTTAACGTCCCGCACGCGGCGGCGAGTGGCCCCGGCAGCCTGAGAGCTCCCGCCGGGCGCGACGCTCGCCGGCCGCAGCTCGCCCGCCCTCCGGGGCGCCGCCGGGGCCGGGCCCTTACCAGCGCGGAGGCCATGGGCGGAGCGGGGCGTCGCGGCAACGGCAGCTGCCGGCGCGGCGGGGAGCGGAGAGGAGCGGCGGCCCGTCAAACGCCCCGCGCTCCAGGCGCAGCCGGCCGAGCCCCGAATTCATCCGCGTCTCTAGCAGCGCGTCTTCCGAGCCGCCCATTGGCCGGCCGCCCGGCGGGGGGGGCGGGGCCGCAGAGCCGCCGATCGGTCATGTAGGTGCTTGACTCCCTCTTAAAGGCACAGAGCCGCAGCGCCCCGCGTCTCTTCTCTACGAGTTCGCTCGTTGGTAACACTTTTTTTTTTTTTTTTTTTTTTTCCTAATCTTCTTCCCTACCAGGCTGTGAGGGACTCCGCAGTGCTGGGCCGGCTCTCTGCCTTGGCTTGCTTGTGCTCGACGGCCTTTTCTTTCAGCTTAGCCGAAAGCAAACCTGGAGAAGCAAATCTCTTCAAACCTAGTGGAGAGATCTGGCCCAGGTTACCCCGATTTCGCGACTTATCAATGGATACGGGATAGCTCTGTTTTACATGTCAGACTGATTTTGTATTGTCACCTGAGGTAGTTTAGCCAGCTTTCCAGTTACTTCTTAGTACTTTCTAGGTTTCCAAGTCAGCGTTTGTGCTTGTATCATAGTAGTCTTTAAACGGTCCTTCAATGCTTTAAAAAAAGTACAAATACAGAAATGTTGGTGTTAGTGCTGTGAATGTTTATGCAGCTTCATGGTAAGGTAGATAAGGGAACCAGCCTCACTGAATAAGTACTGCTCCAATAGTTACATTAGTAAAAAGAGGGTTGACATCAGTGAGCAAAAGGGAGGGCCATGAATAGCAAAACTGTCATTCGATATGCAAGGGTTTGTGAAGAAGTAAATTATATTGCAATTACCCTTTTTTAAAAAAAAATCCAGTCTGCATTTTACAGAGTTTCATCTGACATTAAACTTACATCTGCAGAATCAGGTCAGTAATTAGGCCAACATGTAAGATTTGTCAGTTATAAAACAGTTCCAAATCAATAGCGTTTAACCATGAAATGCACATTTTAAATAATTTTGAAAGTGCTGAAAAAGCAGGATTATCACAAGTATATAAGAAGATTTCCATTAAAATCTGCTAGCCACTCCTTATATTGATGTTCTGCAGACTGATGGTTGCACTTACAGTTTAAGAACATAAAAGAAGTTTTTTAAAGAAGTAGTGGGACAGGACACATTGACTTTAACTTGGACCTAACTAAAGCTACAGTTTTATGTCATTACTTGTTCTTGGTTTGGTTGTTGGTTTGTTTGTTTGTTTTCTACACAGCTCACTCACCCATCCCTTTGCATTACCTCCCATGGTTTAGTTATGATGTAAAATGTAGCATTTAAAAAAGTTGGTAATGATAAAACTTAAATGTCCCACATTCAACCACATTGCAGGAATAATGAGTTAACTAGTTAAATTCACTTGACCTCTTCACCACTATTGAAGTCTTCCAGCCTTTTCTCAACTGCTTTTCCAACTATCATCTTTCTCCTAGAGTTTATCAGCTGTGAATGATACCTCTCAGTAGGGAGAGAGCCAAGCTACATTTCGGTCCTGTCCCTCTGGGAAGGATGTTTAGTACCAAACTTTGAGTGATCTTATGTTGTGTTCCCCTTTTCTTTTATCTTGAATGAGAGAAACTACCCTCTTTGCTGCTGCAATTACGTGTTATGGTGTCTCAGTATTACTGGTACCTTATGTTCTCAGGTTCGGATGTGTTCTGGAAGCTCATTAAAACCCACTGGAGAGAAGCACACATTATTTTATTTACAAGCTGAGCTAAATGACAGTTTCCAGTCACACTGAATCTTTTTCTTTTTGGCTTCTTCACAGCTGCTACACTTCTAGTAGCTTAGTGTCTTTTATTCATTTTGGGGTACTAGCAATAAACTGGAATCTGTATGTGCCCACAAAATTCCTGAATTATGAAGTGCCAGGTGATAGTCATAAAGCAAAGGAAGGGCTGCAATTACTGAGAAAAAGAAGGTGGCATCCCTCTTTCCACAAATCGCTGAAAGAGTGTTTGTTTCTCAAAATGTAGGGCTTACAAATTTAATCTGTTCCTTGCTGTTTCTTCTAACCTGCGAGTGTGTTGAAGACTCCCAGATGCTTGTAGGAAGCAAAGTATTCCCTTGCCACAGACATATAATTAGCTATAATGACTGTAGTTATAGAGCTGGCAGGTAATAGTTTTTATGCTGATTATTTTTTCTTATTAGCATGCATAGATTTTATTTTTAGAATGATTTTAAGATTACTATAACTCCTAATAATACAGTTATGAGTTGGCATTGTCTTTTTGAGGTTGAGAATAACTGTTCTGCAATATACAAGTGCACTCTACTGTATTAAGTTGTTGTGCACTGTGGTGACAATGATAAATGGCGCATCAGAAAATATCTTCCACGTGTCATGCCTCAGTAAGCTGTGGTTTCAGCAGCTGTGAAGTTTTTTTCTCAGGCAGTGAGTTAAGGTATTATATGTCCAAAGAGAAATTGTATATACGGAGGAAAACTTTAAGATTGTAACTCAAGGTTCATGCAGACCTAGTAAAAGTATGTGTAGAATTCAAGGCCACAGAGGCAAACTTGGTACCATTTGGACATGAATGTTGCAATGCACACATAAATTCCACTGATCACATGTGATTTCATAGTGATTGAGGTAATACATTGCATGTGGACAAGGGGCAAAAATGTAATATACTAACCCACCTAAAACTCTGTCGCATCTAAACTGAGAATTTTTAATTTAATGTTAATGCTACTTTTTTTTAAAAAAGGTGAAAACCCTAACTTTAATTATGTAGGATCCTACCGGGAGCAGCTGTATTAGCACCAGAGCTGTCCAGACCCCTGGCGAGGCCTTTGGCCCTCAGGCTGTTGATAGGCGGGGGACACAAGCAGGCGGTGGTGTGCCGTGGGCGCTAGAGGGGAGTGTGAGATACGCTTTGCTAGCGTGGTGTCAGTTATTCATCCACCTACATGCAGCAGAAGAATGTAGTCTCAGGGCACAAAGATTTAATTATAGGCTGTCTTGCAGTTGTAGAACCATTATACCTTATGCCCCCTGTGTCTTTCCAACCTCTGATCCTACCTTTTTTTCTCTTACATCAAAATGGTTATGAAAATAAATATTAAGACTGTAAAGTAACTTGTGGAGTACTGTTGGGTTTTTTTGTTTTGTTTAAATTTTCGTACCAAAATCCCATTAAATTCTATTTGCCAATGGCAGATAGAAAACAGAAAAGAAAAGGATATCAAAGAGGTACATATATATTTGAAATGCAAGGATGATTTGGAATATATATGACATTACTTTTAGTCTGAAAAACATCCCAGGGTTCTGAGGGAGTTGGCAGGTGTAGTTTCTAATCTATTCTCCGTCATATTTGAAGAGTCATGGCAGTCAGGTGAAGTTGACCTGGACAGGCTTGAGAGGTGGCCCCGTGCAAACCTCATCAAGTTCAACAAGGCCAAGTGCAAGGTCCTGAACATGGGTCGAGGCAATCCCCAGTACCAGTATTGGTTGGGGATGAATGAATTGAGAACAGCCCTGTGGAGAAGGACTTGGGAATACTGGTAGATTAAAAATTGGACATGAGGCAGCAATGTGTGCTTTCAGCCCAGAAAGCTGACCGTGTCCAGGGCTGCATCAGAAGTAAAGTGGCCATCAGGTCAAGGGAGGTGATTCTGCACCTCTACTCTGCTCTCATGAGACCCTACCTGGAGGGCTGCGTTCAGCTCCGGGGCCCCCACTACAAGGAAGACACGGACCTGTTCGAGCAGGTCCAGAGGAGGCCAGGAAGATGATCAGAGGGCTGTTGTAGCTGACAGATATTTGAGATTTTCCCTTATTCAGTGCATAGATTGTATTTGTACTGAAGGATAAATAAGAAAACTTAAAATGACTGAAGGGAAACATGTGAAAGAAAACTGCATAATTTAAAACCAGCACTTTAAACCAAATAACCATCTGGATTAGAAGCTGAGAGTGACAATTGTTCTGCCAAAGAACTTGTCTTAAAGTCATTAGAATTTGTATAAAAGTGGGTGTGTTATCCAAAGGCGTTTTCTGGTTTGTTCCATATAATTAGATGCTTTTGTATAAAAGATGCATACCTTTCTAATGACTACATGAATTAAATTCCTTAACGTTTCTCCCTAAGTACCTAAACAGCACAGTAAAAATACTGACATAGTAATATGCAGTTGAAGCACACACTGAGTTGCATGTCAACCTCTCTTAGTGTTACCTTCAATGCCAGATTATAAGTCATACTCCCTATAATGTATGTGCATTATTTGAATCTGAGGATGTTTGCAGCCACTGATTGTTTTTTGATAACAGGACTGGTTTGACTATGAAATTTTCTGGAATAATGCTATCATGGTGTTTTATAGCAGTGGTATCACTACCTGGCTGGATACCCACATGCAATTCTAAACTTAAAGAACATCTTTCTCTCCTTTTTTTTTTTTGATAATGTTTTAATGGATGATCAATACCAGTAGAGTTTCCTGTGTTGCCAGTAACATGGATATGTTGGTAAATGTATCTTTATTTCAATGTGCTTGCATCTAGCTTTTCTAAAAATAAATAAAGCAGTTGTTTTCTAAATAGATACCAGGTATGATGGCTCTTTGCCATTGTATACAATACCTGAGAAACTGTCGCGTTGCAAAATTCAATGTGTGGAATCAAATTGCCTTAGCAAATTGTTTGGTAATGTGTGTTTAAAATCAAGAAC